CCATCCCCCCACTCCTTCCCCGTCCTCCGTGAGCAACACCAACTCCATCAACGCCCAGGCCCTTTCCATGAATTGCAGGATACCCAAGCCCTCCTCCTCCTACAAGGGAACCCGGGAGGGAGGGAGGGAGGGAGGCCGCGAACGAGTGAGATGAGAGATGCTGGATACCTCCTTACTTCCCTTCGCCACTTGCCAACAAGGCTGGGCTTAAGGAAGAAAGAGAAGAGGGGGGGAAGGGAGGAAGGAAAGGAGGGAGGATCGAAAGGAGAGGAGGGAGGGGGATAGGAAAGGAAGGAGAGAGATCATGTCTCCCTCCCCACATCGCCGCCACACTCATCACCTGCGCGGTTAACGCTGCCACGGCATCTCCCCGTGCCTCCCGGTCGATGACGTCATCGACGTGGGCCAAACACCTGCGGATGCTTCTTCGCAAGCGCCGGGATGCCCATCGCAGGATGGAAAGGGAAGGGAGGGCGGGGCAGCGCTCCCGGTGCCCCGACCGTGAAAGGGGCAGGGACGGAGAGGAAACGCCCTCGACGCGCTCGAGGTAGTCGATGCCGGCAGGGCGGACGGAGACGGGTAGGTGGCGGAAGAGAGCACGATAGGTGGCATACAAGGATGAGAGGAGGTACTGCCCCTCTGCGGCGAGGAGGGAGGAGCGTGAAGTGGGAAACGTGTCTTCGGTCTCATCGGGAGGGGCCACCTGCATCTCGGCATCGTCGTACATCGCAATCACTTCCTATATGTAGGAAAATGGGTAAAATGCGTATCAATGATACGTTGATGGTAGGAGATTTGACAGGTGATGTATTAGTCGGAGAAGTGCTTGTCGGTGATGATGCGGTGGGCGATTATCGGAAAAAAGGAAATTTGCCTTCCAACAAGCCGAGAGCACTAGTAAGCCCTATCGATGGGTGGAATATCAGTGACTGCTGAGACTTCATACCGTGCATGATATCATTATGTCCGTACGCGTCGGTACCTGACCACGTTTTCCTGGTCTGAGGTCCCTACGACTGTTCATGTTTTCTTCTGTTTAGCGCGGAAGACAGCTAGCCATTGGAATGAACGGCTGGGTGAGGCCACGACATTCCCGAACAATGGCGATCCTATTGACCCTCTAAACCTCACAACATGTGTATAGAAGTCAGCATACGAAAGAAAACATCATTCGAGAACCAGAATGAAACAACCCGCCAACCCAACTTTGGCTGTGACTGTATAAACCATTGCGTTTCCCGTCGGGTCAGACGCGGCACCCTCCGCGTGGAATACGCCGGGAGCGGTCCGCTACAACCAGTGGCTCCACCGGCGCCATAAAATTATGCGACCTTCGAATGGCTGCTCTGGTTTTTATTTTATTTTTGTTTCGTCGCATGTGACGCGACCGCGGGAGGGCAGGCACGACTCGTTCAAGGCCACTGGGGGGGTGGCGTCACACGGACTTCTAAAGCGTTCATGAAAGTGTGCGTTTGAACGTCGAAGCAGTCAGGAAGGTAACGCACAGAGCTTGATAGATAAAATAAATTAAAAGTGCGAGTAGGCATCCATCCTCATACTTTACCTCCCCGGGGAGATTGAAGACTGATACGCATGCGGTAAGAATGCGTGTGAGTCATCGACAGTACTTGTCCAGTCTAAGGAGGAAGAAAGAAACAACAACCTTTTTTCCTTGAGCGGCGTTTGAAGGCGTGCCCGACTGCACACGCAACTTTCTTCCTTGTAATCATTTCCCTCCCTCCCTCCCTCCCTCCCTCCCT